CATCTAGGCTTGCCCGACTTAGACAATATTGTGTCCTCTGCCGGGTGTGAGCTCTCCAAGGCCTCATCCCAGAGCGTTCCCGCCAGTTCAGTTCTGTTTGACCAGATAGCACCAAAGAGTAACAGTAACAATAAAAATATTTAACAAGTCCCGGACAGTTTGGCTCAGCAGTTGGAGCGTTGGCCCACGGACCAATGAGTTGCGAGTTCGATTCCAGTCAAGGGCATGTACCTCAGTTTCGGGGTCGTGTGGGAGGCTGCCGGGCGACGTATCTCTCTTGCATCAATGTTTCTCTCTCTCTCCCTCCCACTCTATCTGGGGCTGGATGGAAAAATATCCTCAGGTGAGGATAAAAAAAAAAAAAAAGTTAACAATTTAGTGTCTTTATGTGCTCGGCCATGTGCTAAACATTATAAATGGATTGTCCCATTTATTTTTCACAACAGTGCCATGAGGTAGGTGCTATTTTCTTACTACCTCATCATTTCGAAGATGAGAAAACTGAGCACCGCCAAGATTACATAAGAAGGTAAAGCAGCTCATAAGCGGTGGAGACAGGATTTGCTTTGACAACAGTGCATGGTGTCTTTTCCCTCTTAACACACTTTGGTCCCTACTGGTAATGAACCTGACATCTTGGCATTCCAAACCTTTCCAACCCCACGACCATGCTCATAGCTGACCAGGTTCCCTTGCCCTGTTTTTATATGACTGTTTTGATAAACTAACTCCTGCTGGGCAGTAGGTATTGTAACTGAATGTGTTATACCTCCTGGGGAAACAGATTTGTATCTAAACAGGAATCTCCAAAGAGAGACAATTCTTCATACAATGTAGTGAGTAATGTCAGGCACACTGCCTGAATGATGATGGTCCCGTTCTTTTGGGCCCCATAAGCCTTCTCTACTGAAGCATAATCTTGATCAACATGGAAATCTATTAAAATGTTAACTTTGGATGAGTTTAAACCATGATCTATTGGATATCAAGGGTTATTTTAGTGCCTGATCTTTAAAAGGGAGTTGGATGTTGCCTTTTAAAGTAAAAAAAAAGCATCTTGCTTCTTACCTTTGGGGACCAGTTTGTATTAGGAATTTTACATCAGTGATACAGACTGGAGCTTTGCCTTGTCTGATCTGAAAGATACCTATGGGCCAAGTCCGAACTTTCCTGGAGGGTGCGTTACTACAGGGCTCTCCTGAGTTTCATAATTAATCTCACACTATTCATTTATTTCATAATGTATTTTGTATACAGGCACTATATTAGCTTCTTAGGCATTTTTTTTTTTTTTACTATTACCACCCTATAAAAAGACTGAATTTATCTGATAATGGGGTAAAATCTCCAGGAAGACCTTAGATCTTAAGTTCTTACAAAGGTCAACAGAGTATTCTATATACTAATATATACAATTAGACAGTTATTCCCTATTTTCAAAAATGATAGTGATGAGTTCCTGGATTTGAATCAGCCTCCAATGATGGGAAGCCCTTTGCCCTCTTTCAGCCTGGAGTTTATCTGTTGTCACGTGACATGAAATGACATGGCCTGTGTAACCTCGGTAACCTACTTCTTTATAAATGACAAATGAAAAGATGAATAAGGCATGCTTGTTAAATATCCGGAAGACATAGAGCTGGGAGTGTAAATGAAAGGATAATATATTGAGTGATAAAAATAGTGAGGTCAGTAAATAAGAACACTGTGCTAAAACCAAGATGTTGAACTTAACAGGAATAATAGAAAGCCCTCATTTAGTTTCAAATATTCAGTAGCATAAGTTCAGGATAGGAGAGAGCTGTAATTTTCACATTCAAAAATACCCTATAGACTTTTTCATTAACCTTCACTCAATATTCGAAAAGGCTTGCTGAGTACTAACCACCAGGTGGGCACTGCGGGCTCTTACCACCCAACGCACCTGCAAATGCAAACTAATTGGCCAATAATGAGAAGCTCAAGGGAGAAAATATTCCCACTGACTAGATCTCATCAGAAGTAGACACAACACTCTAAGAAGGTCATAGTTGATAAAATAGTCTATAGAAGAGGGAGACTAGACGGGTGAGTGAAGAGGAAACTAGGCTGGATAGAAATATTGAGTGACCACAGGATGTTTAGTCTAGAGAAGAAAAGATTATGGGACTTTGATGGTTGTTTTCTAGCATTTAAGAAGCTATTGTGTGACTGCAAGAGGAGTCTTAATATTTTTTGGGTTATTTTAGTTCATCCAATGGGGCGAAAGTTAGAGAGGAGCAGTTTCATTTTGATGTCTTCAAAAGTTTTCCTGCCAACTTTGGGAAAGGCTGCTCTGGAGGTGGCTGGCCCCAGGGGGACTCCTGCAGAAGGTAGCTGGCCATCTGCTGGTAGTCGGCTCCCCCGGAGAGGCTACGCTGTGTCGGCAATTGGAATAAGTGATCTCTGAGGATCTCTTTGATGTTCATTCTTTTTTATTTTTCAAATTAAGTGGGAAGTAACCTAACATTTCATCTACCTTCCTTAAGCCTTCAGACCCCTAAGAATTTTGCTGGCCTACAACTAGTTAGTTGTTTCCCCATCCTTCCTACCTTCACTGGCGGAGACAACTTTGATTTACTTAACAGAGTGTCATAGAAATTAAACCCCAAATGTTAAAATACACTGCTGACTCATTTGGAATAGTTATGGAAACCTAGACTGTGTCTCCGTTCATTCACCAGTTGGACGTGGATGTACCAGTGATCACCAGGACAGACAAGAAGGGGGAAATCGTGCCTCAGTTGAGGTAAACAGAGGAAGTTCGCAGATCAGAGCCCATGAGATGGAGCACACACAAGGGTCCACGTGCCGTCTGCAGCTCCCGGGGGAGGGCTGAGGGTGCCCTGAGCTGTGTGGGTGCCAGAGACAGGGAGGCCCCTCTTAGCTCCGTGGAGCGGCCCTAACACTCACTGTGGCTGGATCGCTCAGGCTGCATCTCCTGGACACCTGCTGTGTCGTTAGGTGTGCCCAGATGTCACCATCCAGCTCAGAGGGAGACTTCCTACAGGCTCTGCTGGCCATTTCTGTTGTCAACTTGTAACCAAGGAACACTTGGCTAGAAAGTTGCCTTCAGTATGACAAAATGTATGGTTTTAGGGGGAAAGACTGATGAAATACTTCTGCCAAAGGGGGCTGTCACCAGAAACTGTGTATTTACCTCTTTGTCTCTTAACAAATATATCATTTTGGCCTCATGTCATTCTGTTTAGTTTAGAAGGGTGAAGTCTAACTATCTGAATATCTTGTAAGCTTGTATTTATAGAAGATGACAAGTGAGCATAGATACAAGCTCAGTTTTAGTTATTACCATTAATCCAAAAGCATGTGACAGGCAATATATATTGTTTTTAAGTGGAAGTGCTTACCAGATCTAAGAGTAATTATTTAGAATAGTAACAGCAGCCAGTAGGAAGAACTGGCTAAAACATAATTTCAAAATTAGTTGTATGATTGCAGAGTTAGGGAGACTTTATAGGACTTAAAATAGTCACTAACAGCCCTGGCAGGTTTGGCTCAGCGGTTGGAGCGTCAGCCTGCAGACCAGAGAGTACTGAGTTCGGTTCCCGCTCGGGTCACGTACCTCGGTTGTGGTTTGTCCTCGCCCTGGTTGGGGTTGTGTGGGTGGCAACCACTTGATGTATCTCTCTCTCTCTTCCTTCCTCCCACTCTATCTGAAGATAAATGCAAAAATGTCCTCGAGTGAGGATTTAAAAAAAAAAAGTCACTAACAGTGATGCTGTTATTCAGTGAGCAGGAAAAATAAGTACCATTTTATATTACTATCTGGTACCTTTGCCAAGTGCAAGAACCATTAATAATTATAGAGAGCCAAATGTGCGAGCTATTTTATATAAAAGTGTATGAGAAACATCATTATTTCTCACGAAGGCTGCTACCCTCTGCTAATCCAGTAACAGTAGGTGTGCTGAGTAACTAGTGATGATAATAATGATAACAAAGGGGAAAAATCAAGAGCCAGTCCCCTTTTCCAACTCATTTAAGGGCCCACCCACTATTATATTTAGACACCAGCCTGCTCCACCCAAGGCTGAGGTTGTTTCCATATAACACACTCAGATAGACCATTCCAAGGTAGTTGCTCTTTTTTCTTTTTCATCCTCACCCGAGGACATTTTTACATTTATCTTTGGATAGAGCAGGAGGAAGAGAGGGAGGAAGAGAGAGAGAAATAAACATCGATGTGAGGGAGACACATCGACTGGTTGCCACCCACATGACCCCAACCAGGGCCGGGGACAAACAGCAACCGAGATACGTGCCCTTAGTGGGAACCAAACCCCGGACTCTCTGAGCCGCGGTCCAACGCTCTAACCGCTGAGCCAAACCGGCCAAGGCTAGTTGTTCTTGTTACTTGTAGAAAGGCCAACATTTCACTGTTGAGGTTTGTTTGGTAAACCCACTTTGATCAATTTTAACCCAAGTGTATAATCCATTTTAACATAAAATGAATGACAAGGCACCTGAGAAGTAACACTAACACTCCAGATATTTATTTAATTCATTCATTGAATTCATTTGACCCTCACAAGAATCCTATGAAATATATGCTGTAATTATCCCACTGTAAAAGAGGAGGAAACTGAGGCACGGAGCATTTTAATGAACTTGTCCATGATCACAAAACTAAAAATTGGCAAAGGTGAGATTTGAACTCAGACAGCCTGGCTGGTTCCCAAGTCCAGGAACTTAACCAATAGGATGTACTGCCTCCCAGGAATGGTATGTAGGTAATATTAATCAAGTGCTTAGTGTATACCAGGCACTGTGTTAATCCCTTTATACACATTAGCATATTAAGTTCACCAGTTGGGTCATTTGGACACAATTAAGAAGGATAACAAAAGGTTCACCAGGTCACCTGTTGATTGGCGTAACACCCTAACTTGGATGTGGTTTCTTTTGCTTTAGATTGCAGGATGCTAGCAGTGAGAACTTACCGTATTATCTCCTCCTTGCAGGGGTGGAATGGTCCAAACCAGTGAGCAGTATGAATTTGTGCATCACGCTCTGTGCCTGTACGAGAGCAGACTGTCGGCAGAAACCGTCCAGTGATTCTCTGAAGAGTTACCAGACCATCCATCTCCGGGGGTGACTAATCAATTACCCCCTTGAGGCTTCTAGAAGAAGTGTCCTGCAATGAAAGGAAAGAGAAGCCCTGCAGTCAAGCTATGGCATGGACTGTGGAAGATGGCACCATAGTAGAGAATGCCAGCCCCTTGTGTATGTGAATGCATTTGTAAGCATCTCCTAAGTTATTTTGAAGGTCCTATTCCGATGGAGGAATGCCAGACTTCTCACACAGCTAAGGAGGGTGTTGTTTTGTCTGTATTGATTACCTGCCACATGGAATGTTTGTATGAAACACTCAGTGATACATGTCATCAGATGATGTCTGGAAGAGCTGTGGAAGAAATTATTATGTGTGTTTAGATGCTTTAATGTTTGCAAAATCTGTCTTGTGAATGGACTGTCAGCTGTTAAACTGTTCCTTTTTAAGTGCTATTACCTTTCTCAGTTACCAGAATCTTGCCACTAAAGTTGCAAGTGGTTGATAAAGGATTTTTAATAAATAAGTCCTTGTTTTTGAAAAAGAAAAATCAAAAGCAGTAACTATTTTATATGGAAATGTGTCTCAATAATATTACCTATTAAATGTGTATTTATCAGTACCTCCTATCAGTCAATTACAGAGCACAATGATTGTCACTGGGAATATATGTATTTATTCTCTATTATTGGGCATAAAAGTGGTTTCTGCTTCAGAACTCTATTCACTGTATTTCTACATTGTGAGTCACTTTACTGTAAAAGAGAAAAACAAATTTGTAGCAACTCTGAAGTATCCAGAATTTTAGATACTTGTCTCTCTTTTACTAAGAAGGAGTTTTTGAGTATTCTGTCTACCTGTGGTCTCTTGCCCAATAAAAGGCAGTTGCTTTGGAGAACGATGTCACCTGTCACATTTCCAGTTTTTTCTAAAGGATGCTGCTATGAATATACTGAGGTTTTAATCCTCAGGAGACAAATAAAGCTAAAAATCAGACAAAAAACTACACTCAGCAAACACTAGATGTTCTGCTCCAATATGAGTTTTTAATGCAGCAATGTTGACTTTGTTTCATACTGCCAATAAAGTCCTCTTAATACTAAAGGTTGAGTAAAGCAGGTACTTTTTTTGTCCTATTTGGAGGGAGGCTGTTATCTTTGGTGGGGGGAGTCTGAAACAGATGATGTGAAGGGTTTCATTTTAGTCTCTGCCTCTCCCTCGTGTAGATGACGATCTCAAATGTAATACCCGTTGTCATCACCTGAGAGATCATGATCTCCAAGTGCCATCATTATGTGGTTTTCCTTGATGGACTCCCAGCATATCATTACAGGAACAGTGCGTGTTTACGTCTTTCTATCACTTGTCATAGACCCTCATAAATCACATGGTTTGTGTTTACTCAGCAGAATCACATCACCTGAAGAGATGTCCTGTTGTAGGAGCATTCAATTACCTAAGATTACAATTCCTTTCTTCCCTTTTGAGGTTAAGAAGTGCCAAAGAGATGGATGAGAGAGAAAATTTAGGAGTTTTATTCCGCTCCTGGAGACTGGAATTTTTTCTGCATAAAAAAAAAAAGAGAGAGGTAATCATAATCCCTTCTTTCTAAGGAAACAGACAAAAGGACACTGGTGTAAAACTTCCCCAAACAATTCAATAGGAGGAAGTGCTCGTCACTGACTTTTCCCCCCCATGAAGGCACATTTCCTTCCCTAGTCTTTGCTTCACTTTTCTGGGAGAATTTTTTACCCCCCAGTGAAGCATGAACGGTTGTTAAGTGGAAAATGGAGGCTGAATTTTACGTGGTGGTTCTTGCCTGCTTGATCTCCGGGAGCTCAGGTGAGTGGGCTGCCTCGGGGACCTGAAGGGTTGCTCCAGGAGCTGGCCGGCGAGCTTCTGTCCTTTGAAAAGTGCCTGAAATGAGGCGGAAATGGAGCTAGGTCTCCATGGCAGTCCAGCCGAAGATGACGAGGAGAGGGAAGAAAAGGAGCCAGCGTTGCCCACACTGTTGAAATTTCTCTCCAAAAGAAAATAAGAGGCCTCCTCCTGTCCTGCAAATGCCTCAGGCAGCTCCTGAGGTGGCATCTTTACAGCAGAGAGTAGAGAGTCCTGAGGAGACATTTTTATTATTATATAACAGTCTGGGGGCATTCTCCATGCTTTTTTCCAATTAGGTTATGATTCTGTGTTTGTGTGTGTGTGTGTGAGTTAAAGAAAGAAAATGGAAGACATATAATCAAAGGGGCTGAAGAACTGTGGTGTGTTTAGTTTGGAAGTTGTTATTGGCAGGAAGGTCTGAATATTTTCATGGGAGAGCTGGACAAATTAAGTGAAAGCACATTAAAAATGGTTCCTGAGGCTGAATTTCTCACTTTTTAATACTGATTTTAACAACTGGGTGTTTAATTTTCTTACATCAAGCAATGCTGATATTTTAATCGGTTAGAATTTTGAGGGACAATTCTAGACAGATATTGTCACAAAATAGAGAACTGCTTCTCTGTAGGGTTATAAGAACTTTAGTTTGTGACAATTCTTTCATGGGTTATGGTTAGCTAAGAAGGTGTGCTTCGAAGGTTGTAAAAATGTGTCTTATTCTGGGGTAAATGCATCTAATTTTTAAATTTTTACTTAAACTATGTAATTAATAGACAAATATTTATTGCAATGATAACTTAAGGATTGAAAAACGGGGTGCCCTTTAAAGTTGGGGGTCAAGGTGAGATGGAAACAGTAAAATGGCTAAAAAGTGGAACGGAACTTTTCATAATTTCGGCATATTTAATGAGTTGGACTAAAACATCACACCAGAGTCTTTGGATGGTTTTGTTTCTTTTCCAAGCTTCCTTTCATCATTTCAGTGGGGGTGTCTTTTCTTCTCTAAGCAATGTGAGAGTCAAAGAAAGGGAGCTAAGTGTGACATTTTGACATTCTGACATCGTCAGCCTTGGGATTTTAAGTTCCATGTGTTGAATCTGGAGATATTTTCTGGAAATGATAGCAATAGCAGAAGATAAACCCTCCTGTTTTCACTTGGCTGATTTGTGGGTGGGTGGTTTTGTTTCCTGATGGGCCTTATGACTTGTTACATAGTTACTAGGTGAGCTTTCCTCTTCCAGAGGGGTTTCAGATTGTCCATACCCAGAAACAACAGTGCCTGTTCGAAAATAAGATCGTGGCCATGGGCTTGTGCAATGGGACCAGCCAGAACCAGCAGTGGATGTGGACTGAGGATGGAAAGCTCCTTCATGTGCTCTCTGAGATGTGCCTGGGCGTCTCCAGCTCCTCTGGCGGGCCTTCCCGAGCAGCCATCCTCGTCCGCTGCCCCCAGGCCCCGCGATGGACTTGCCACGAGAACAAAGGGTACCTTGAGGTGGAAAATGCCTCTCTCTTTCTCAAGAAACAGAGCACCAAGGCAGTGGTCAAGAAGGGCAAGAAATACCTCCATAGCTGGATGAAAATAGATGTCAACAAGGAGGGGAAACCAGTCAATGAAAGCCTCTGCTTAAAAAAAGGTGAGCTGTTCCTTTCAGAATCCATTCTGAAAGTTCTTCCGCTCAGTGTCCTGTTTCTGTCTCACTGTTGGGAAGTCTACGTGCCCAAACACTGTTTCTGTGGAAGAGTCATAAACTAATGGAATTGGATTATGTGGTGCACACCAACATGGAAGACTCCATCTTCCTTGTTAAAATAAGCCCAGCTTTGCGCTCTCTCTCCCCCCACCCCCTACTTTTCTTGCTTCTTTTATTACTTCAACAAATATTTATTGAGTTTCTCTTTTTTCCCAGACATTAGGCACTCTAGTTAAGCATTGTAAGATATATGAATATAGATCTAAGCATAGACACAATATACATGTGTAATGGCTAAAGCCAATGATCAGGAAATAAAATTTTGCTGATGTAGACACTTCTGTTCTCTGATTAGGAGGAACTATTAGAACATCAAAATGGTGCTTGAGAAGACTAGAAAGATAATAAATTGTGCTTGGGCAAATCTCTTTTTGTTTAGGGGTAGATATTCTTGGGGGATAATATATTTCTGAAATGGTAAGAACCAATATGTAGCCACAGAGTTTCTAATATGTTGACCATTGATGGGTATAACCTAGATGATAGACACATGTAAAAACTTGTATATATGGCCACAAATTCCTGTTGTAGCCCAAAATTTAGCTCTGCGCTAGAAACTTTTTATTGTGGGTACAACTTGATTTTCCTGTTTTACTTAATCATTTTATTACTTACTCCTCTATGAAGGGTTTGCTTTAGAAAGTCATGAAAGATAAAAGTAATAGAAGCATTATATATTAGGTACAAATGGATCTTACAAAACACTGGAGAAATTGTCTAGAAATGAAGATGTTCATCAAGGTCACGGAAGTTTGTCAAGGTTAAGTGAATTGTCCCAGATAATTTAGTGGCAGAGGTCTGGTTAGAACCCAAGTTTCTTAACTCCTTGTCCAGTGTACATTCCAATATACAGTGTCTCTCAAATGTCTGGCCACAGACTTTTGCCTGGTTGGCTATAAAAGAATCACCTGAGGGAGGGTGATTCTTCCCCCACTACTACCTCCAAGATTGTATTTCAAGAAATAGGGATTTGGGCATAATACTTTATGTGTTTAAAAGTTTCCTGGATTATTTTGATCATAATCCCATTTGGAGGTCAGCATATACTGTATCTGTAAATCTTTCTATTAGATGTTGATTTTTGATACTTATGAGTCTTTCCACCATGTTAATATTTGGATAGTTTTCTGTCACTCATTTATTTCATATTAAATAAGCATTTATTTAGATGCCATCTGAGTGCAGTGGGCTCTTTTATGATAGAAGGTAAGTGTTATAGTCCTTATCCTTATAAAACTTATGGCTATGAGAATAAACTACAAATATAAAAGTCAATTCGAAAATTCAAGTTTATCAGAGAATATACAGTATATAGCATCAATCTGTGCAATTCCTTTTCTGTAATTCAGGTCATAGGCCTGCCGTAAACCATATGGAATTATTGTAAATATTCTCTATATACGCAAGAATAGTCATCCCCAACTCTTAATCCAACTTTGCTTAGCAGAATATTCTTTCATTTAAACTTTTAAAAAGCAGGTGTAGATTCAGTGGAGAATTATTAAAGATAGAAGATAATTCATGGAAAAACTCTCTCCTTTGACCTTCATACAAAACATGTCCAATGATGGACTTAACTTCAAAAGCAAAGAGAATAGAATCAACAATTTACAGTTAACCACTGAACAAACATACCTGGTAATGCATGTTGGGGGGTGGGAAATGGACTTCTAGAAAAACCAGAGTTGAAATTTGTGCAATTGTGGTACAAAAAATATCTTTTTGAAATGTACATAGGTACAACACTTGCCTTAACACAATTATAAGGTAACAGAAGCATATTTCTGCTCCATCTCAAATTTATCATTAATTAAAAGTGCAGAATAATACTAGTTGATCCATAGTACAAAAAGCTCACTGATTTGCTAGATAATCCATTGTGAAAAGTTAAATTGCATTCAAATGTTTGCAATGGATGGTTCCAAATGCACTTTTTAAAAGAGTTGACAACTAAATATTATCATCTAGACCACAAATATGCCTGTTGTTCACCCATACGATGTGAATTATTTTATGAAGTTCTTCAGTAAAAGACATTTTTTGAAAATTTATTCTTTTTACCATTTCCAATAGTTAGACTATTATAATCTCCCTTTTACTTCACCTTTATTCTAGACCAATCTTGTTTAATATATTTAATTTATTCATGTATTATTAATATATTCAAATACATGTATAAATCAATCTTTTTCTAAGTTGTCATCTATTTTGTTTATCCCTATTCATATTATTTTCTCACTTTTAAAAAGCACATTGTATTTGGCATCTTCCTAGAGAGTATAGAAGTACCGATATAGTTAAAATTGTCTACTGCCAAAACGAGTTTTATTCAAGTTATTATTTTTTTAACATGCTTAAAAATTATTAGTATCACTAAAAGAAGGGAAACTAACAAATTGTGTATTGTCTTTATTATTATTATACAAAATTCCATTTCTGTTATTGATTTTACCTGAGCCAATCATAAACTAATTTATAAACTAAAATATACAGTGATTTTTTTTAAAAAATTCAAAATATGGTCATAATATGGTACAGTTATTACACATCACACTATAAGTAAGCTATTTGCAACTTAAATGCAAAACTTTTTTGAACTGGCCCAAGATGGTCCACCTTTTCTGGAACTGTGTTCTAAGAGGAATTGCGTATAATGTGAAAACAATGTAGGAGCAATGGTACAATAAAGCTTTTTAAAAATAGCTTCAACATATTGTTCCATTGTGTAAGAACTTTTCCTTGCATTTGTCAAAACACAGCTTACTCTTTCATGAACTGTAAAACGTATACACCTTTTAAAAATACATCAGAAGAATGTATAGATAACAAAACACCTAAAGATCTATTTTTATAATTTCATAGCACCCATTTCAATAAAGAGTTCAGGAGGTGGAAAGATAAACTTCTTTTGATCACTTTATATATTTATTTAATGAATTTTCTTTTCTTCCATCTACTTTTTAATCTTTTATATATATTTAATCTTTTTTTTTTTTTTTATCCTCACCCGAGGATATTTTTCAATTTTTTGTACAGATAGAGTGGGAGGGAGAGAGAGGAAGGAGAGAGAGAGAGAAACATCGATGTGAAGGGACACATCGAGTGACTGCCACCCGCACGACCAACCAGGGCCGGGGACAAACTGCAACCGAAGTACATGCCCTTAACGGGAACCAAACCCGGGTCTCTCCGGACCGCAGGCCGACGCTCTAACCGCTGAGCCAAACTGGCCAGGGCTATCTTATATATATATCCTCACCCAAGAACATTTTTCGATATTTTGTTCAGATAGAGTAGGAGGGAGGGAGAGAGAGAGAAACATCTACATGAAAGGGACACACTGAGTGGTTGCCACCCACAACACCCCAACCGGGGCTGGGGACAAACTGCAACCCAGGTACGTGCCCTTAGCGGGAACCGAACCCGGGTCTCTCTGGACCGCAGGCCAACACTCTAGCCCCTGAGCCAAACCGGCCAGGGCTACTTTTTAATCTTTTAATACCCACATAAGGAATAATTAGATTTCAGTTTTTGCTCACATTGTATATGTGAATAAAATCATATACTTAGATGTATATTAGAATCAACTGAGGATTTTGTTAGAAATGCAGGTGGTATGTCCCACACCAAATCTACTATATCACAGTTTCTTGGGGAAGGGCCAAGGCTTCAAAATCTAACCAACTCCAAAGGCGATTCTGAGACCTACCAAAGCTGGTGACCCACACCTTTAAAATTCACAAAATTAGGAAAAAAATGTGAAACTAAAGCTTCTTTCCTGCTTCTTAAATAGCACAAGTTAAAAACATAGACACAAAATGAAGGGGTGCTGAACTTGGATATTTTGTAGGTTCTTTCTTTGGAAAAATGGTGGTGGCCTAAATGGAAATGGGCTTACTTGGTTTGGGGTGTTTCATAAATAAATTTAGAAGGTTAATTAAAGACAATTACAAAAGACTGAGAATTTTTCCATAAGATATTCCAAAGCTACGTGCAATGGCAGTAAGCTATGTTATCCGCAGGGAAAATTTCAAGAATGTTTTGATCATTTATCTAATTTGGGGAGAGTCCTGTTTCATCCATTGAATTAATTATGTAAGTTGACAAATTTTTTTAAAAAGTGCTTAGGATGAGTATTTAGCAAGTGCTCCTTAGCAAGGAAGAGTAAACATAGGTTGACATGCGAAGACACGTAATTACATGCTAGGTATTTAGAAGCTTGTTTTTGTCCTAACCCATCATTAAATCTTTCTATCTTTTTTGAAGGTCTGAGAGCTAAAATTGTCAACTCAGAGGATCAGCACTGGCCAAATCTCAAAATGACCAAAATACTGATTTCCACATACAGAAATTTTTATATCCCAGCAATAGACAAGTGTCTACCTAAAGGGACCTTCAATTGCCTAATTCAATTAAGGCTGCTTCGGGGAGTTGGGGCTCTCCCTGACGTTGCAGCTGGCTTTGTCGTGTACAGTTGGGTTCAACACTCCAGGGATGAATAAGGCCCCTTGTCTATGTTCAGAGGGATTCTCCTGAGCACAGCGGCAATGATAGTGGCACAGGATTCTGAAAGATAAAAACAAACAGAAACTAAGGAGAATGTCCGAAACTCTACCAAAGCCTCCATCTAGTAGAATGCAGTGGGGTTGACATAACCACACAACACCCAGCTATATTTAAATGTCAGATAAATGACAAGTCATTTTCGGTATATTTCTAATATACAATTTAATATAACCTTTGTAACATTCTGTATTAGAGATATAGTAAATATAATGAATCATTGGTTGCTTAACACTATAATTTAACTGGGCATTAGGTGTTTTTTTTTG